ATTCACACAAAGGATGGCTCCAAATTCCATTTCAAATCATAACAGGGTTCATGGATGCTTGGCTTAGTGCAATGGATAAACCTATCAATTTTGATACAATGTGATACAAAATACTACAATTTATTCAATGAGCCAAGGTTTTAAACTCTATTTAGCAGAATATGACCCTCTTTCCACATATGCAAAAGAGAACATTAAAGAGATAGTGTCAAAACTGAAATCATCATGGAAACCAACCAAAGAGAGAAGCAACCTAGAACTAAGGAGAAACTTCCTGTGACAGTTAGAACAATTAACCAGTGGAACAACCTGCCTCCAGAAGCTCTGAATGCTCCAACACTGGAAGTTTTAAAGAAGAGACTGGACAGCCATTTGTCTGAAATGGTATAGGGTTTCCTGCCTGAGCAGGGAGTTGGACTAGATCAGTGGTTCTTAACCTGGGCGATATTGCCCACAGGGGGCGATTTCATTTTTCAGGGAGGCGATGTAACGAAAAGGGGCAACACAGGGGTGAAGGAATGAAAAAGGGGCGATATGGGGGCGATGGAGTGAGAAGTTTTGGGGACACTTTTGAGACTTTTTCTTACAGTGAATCGCTGTATATCTGTCGTACAAAAACATCAGATTGCTTGCTATTAGTGGATTGAATTGTGTTTTCAAATATTCCTCCAGCTAGCTTCAGTACAGAACACCATACATATGTGAATACGCATCGCTTATCTTCATGCGCGTTGTGCATGAAGATAAGCGATGCGTATGCTACCCATACGGTGGCACGCCATTGGCCAGAATATGAGAGATATGGGAAAAAGACTGGAAATAAATTATTTGCATCGATATATCCTGATGACAATTTTAAAGAAAACAAAAAAAATGTTTGCATAAATTGAAGAATTATTTCCTATGTTGTGATTGAGATGTTATGTTGGGGGAGGGGTGATGACAACTTCCTCATTTACTCAAGGGGGCGATTTGTTCAAAAAGGTTAAGAACCACTGGACTAGATGACCTCCAAGGTACCTTCCAACTATTATTATTGTTGTTGTTGTTGTTGAAAAACCATGATTAAAAACATAGTAAAACATGAAAATTAACTCCACACCTAACTTGGTTAGATACCCCATTTAGATACCAAGAAATTTCTTGAAATCTAGAAAATATTAGCTTTCATAATTTGGAGCAAATACAGTGCTACAACCTCAAATTACAGGACATCTTGTGGCAGAAGGGGGGGGAGAGATTGAAAATAAAGTTTCTTATAGTCAGATTGTGTGTGTGTGTGTGTGTGTGTGTGTGTGTGTGTGTGTGTATTTGTGTCTAGATGTCTATGGAGATTCTCAGTCATCCAGGTTATAGTTATCCCAAAGTGCTTTTTCATGAGGCAACTGGACTTTCTTGTTTTTCTTTTCTTCTTTTCTTTTCTTTTTATCTTTTCTGACATTTCGCTTCTCATCCATGAAGCTTCCTCAGCTCTTCTTCATTGCTTCTTCAGCTCTTCTTCATCTCAAAGAAAAACAGGAAAGTCCAATTGTCTCATGAAAAAGCACCTTTGGGATATAAGTCTAGAATTCTTTCAAAATAATCTATTTTTGCTATGTATGAATGCACTTTATTTCTGCTTATTTTCCAGATCTGAAACTTATAGTTCACTCTGTGTTCCCTCCAAAATAACAAAATAAAATATTTAGACACTTAGATGTCTAAATAAAAATCTTAAAGCCACCAATGTGGTATAGTACTTAAAACAGTAAAGGTTCAGGTTCATTATTGGCCACAGTAACTTACTAAATGATCTTGGACCAATCACCCTCTCAGTTCAGCCTAACAGAGTTCTGAGGATAAATAGGAGAGAATATTATCTTGGGCTAATGAAAAAAAAAGCAGATTTTATATATATTGCTGATTAGAATTTGTTCATTTCAAGAATGTTGGTTTTCAAACCTGTTTAAAATATTTTTCAAAGAAGATATCCATTATTGTTATTGAGAATTAGAATCAGTTTATTTTTTCTTTATGTTTCTAATATCTTTTAGCATTTGTGCCACTGGAGTTCCATTCTACTACTATTGTTTCTGAAACCACCCAGAATTAAATGGTATATTTTCTTCAGTGTTTTGCTGTAGAAAAGCAATTAGCTAACTATTATGAATAAGCAAAATAATTCTAAACCAGAGTACCACATGTTATTTCATAGTATCTAAATTCACAATACTTTAGTTTTTCTTTAAGAAGCAAAGAAAATAGCTGAGTATAAATGGTAGCAGTTTAGCAATCTTAAAATGCAGTGAGTATCTTGGGAAGCATTAACCTGAGGCTACTGTGTTCCTGAAAATCAGCATGTCCATGTCCAATTTTTAAAAGATAAAACTGAATGCAATAGAAGAAAAGAAGTGATTTCTAGTTTAAGTATCTTACTTAGAACATTTATTTTATTCACTCTCTCCCTCTGCTTTATCTACTTAATAATTTTTTTTTCCAAATAAGAATTCTCTCTTTTCCTAATAATATTTGGAAATGTATTGAGAAAGGACTTTTCCAGTTGGAACTGTCAGATGTTACAGAAATAAAGTCATGTTATAGCCAGTAACTTCATTTCAGAGATTCAACTTTTTGAACTCTGAAAGCCAATGCAAACTTCAGGGTTGAATTCCCTGGCAGCAAGAGAAAATCAGAATGGAAAAAACTTTATAATGTGGAGGTTTTTTTCCTAGAAGCAAGGAGAAACATCAACTCTTTATGAATTTGAAAAATAAAGTTTGTTTCATAATCTTTATATTATTAGTAAAGGCATGCTATGCTGGAAGTGAAACATGTTTTCTCAACCTAATGGCAGACAAATATAATAAATATATTTATTGCTATGTGCCAAGACAGAAAGCATTTTGCTAACTTGTCTTATCCCAAATAAATATGATATGCTACCATAGATGCTACCACAGTGAGGATACTTTCACAAGGAATTTTTTTCTTAAAATAGCTGTTATTTCATTCTGGACCCTGAGGTACCAATGTGTTTTATTCTGTTTTACCAGCTGCAAAATCAATTGTGCAGTAATAGCAAGAACAGAGATCAGCTCTGCCAAAGTTATCAGGTGCTTGAACTATCAAGAAACTTAAATGCAAAGAACTCGTGTGTGTTTTATTTCAGTTATTATCCAATATACTGGGCAGCTCACATGATAAATAGCTGGGTTTAATGCAGTTGTAATGAAAACTCATGTTAAATGAATTTCCATAAGTGAATGAGTGTTGACAAATTGACACAACCTTTCCAGCTACTTGTATTATAAGTGTCTACAATATACCTTATACGACAATAGCAACATTAATTCCATCTCTAAAGAGGAAAAGAATAATTTATTTAGATAAACACAGTTGTTAGCATTATTTTGGCCTATTTCCTTCAAACTTCTTTTACACTGAATAAAGAGCAAACATCTTTTGAATAATAGTAATGAGACTCTGTTACTGTTACCCAATTTAAATAACGTGTAATATGCAGCATAATATTTGGAGCTGCAATTATCAGTTTTGGAAGTCTTGGAATAACTATGTATATTTTTTACTCCCAGCTACTTTATGAAAGGCAGCCACCTATTTTGAAATGCAATGTACAAATTCAGTAAATAAAATAAATTCTGCATTGATTTTTATATATTGTTATAACACCACAATATAGAACTGTTGCTGCAGGTCTTACTGCTTCCAAAGCAATGTATACACATAATTATCACAAAATCTGTTAAGTGCCATAAAGGAAGAAGGGAGGGGGAAACATGACAAATAAAATACAGAATACCCTAGGGTATGAGAAAAGCATGTAAAATTGATTTACACTTAGGCTTTGTAAAAATGAAACTTCTAATTGTGACATATAATGACTGTTCAATAGCTACTGCACATATACAATGCACATAATTTCATTCCACTGAGCAGTAACTCAAATGTCAGTTACATATCCTATGCGTGCTAGCATCTATGATTCATTCTGCATTCATATTAGTTATATGAAAAGTGCTGTTTGTTGTACCTTCCCTGATACCCAAAAGTTAGTAAACCTTTGCAACTGGCTAACATAATCATTGCTGTGCCCAGTGCAATTTCTACTGGGTTTTCCCCCCCATAAAACATGTAGAATTCCTTCACTCTGGTAACATGACATGCCACATTAACTTCATAGTGTTTCTTTCTGTGTTAAAATTTCCATCCAGCTGCCACACTGGCATGTAATTGGTTTGGTTTGTTCAGGACTGTAGCTATCACCCTTTATGTGGACTGCAAGGGAATCAAATTGTTTCCAATATGATGAGACTCTTGCAGAGACTCTTCTAAAATGAAGACTGAGGAATTCTTGCCCACATTGGATCCAGGGTGCCGCACTCTAGAAGATTTTATCCCCCTTCACAATTCCAGTTGCTTTCATTTTCCACTTTTAAACCTAACTGGCATCCTTCCCCAAATGCACAAATGTTCAGTGCACCAAGTTCCTTCAGAAAGATGCTGTACTTTCCTACAGACAACACCACAAGGAACTGAGCAAAAGAAAAAGCTTTAGCTAAGCTAGAAGTTCAGCTTGAAAGGGGGGGGGGGGATTATTTAGCTCCTACATACAGAATTCCTAGAGTGAAAAGGAGAAGGCAGATATAGTATTCTGTCTGTTTCCCTCTTTATAGATTTTTCTTTTGGAATGAAGGAATGAAAGAAGAGAAGCCCCCCATAAATACAGGACAGTAACAAGTGGAAGAGGATGTCTGAATTCTGCAGAAATCCTAAGAATGGGTGCAGAGAGGCTGAATGCAAAATACTGTAAAGACAGCAACCCCTGAAATCAATTCTTGCAACTGCAGCTTTCTAAAAGGGAATTGGCTTTTCACACTACCAGCAAAACTACGTATATCCCAAATCTTAAAGACTCCTATTCCTTCTACCGCCCCCACTTTCCCAAGATTTAATAATTCCCACAAAAAAATCAGTCAAAGCTCCAACTTGACAGCACTTACCTCTCTGAAAGGCAGACAGAGGAGTTTATTCTCTCCCTGAATCTCCCCTGCAGAACCGGATCCCAGCGCCCCAGCGCTTGGAAACCAGGCGCCTTATCTTTGCAAGATCTGATCGCTGAATCCCACCTCTCCTTCCCAAAGGTGGGGTGGGGAAGAGTGAATGAAATAAGATCGCCCACGGATGTCCAACGGACAATAGTTGTACCACGAGGGCTACCGAAGTCTGAAAGAGGGCAAAATCAGCCCCGCCGCCTCAGAAAAGGGTTCCCACCAGAGTGGAGTCCGCTGGCGCGCACTGCAGGATCAACACCCTTTCAGACTGAACTGAACTGCCTCTCTTTGCACATCTCGCAGCAGCTCACTCGGTCGCTCCGCACCGGCAGAAGGTGGCGGAAAAGGACCAGCGCGCAGCGCCTCCTTGCCCAGGTCCCAGCTGGGGAGCTCAGATGGGCATAGGCAGGGCCAACTGGCAGCTTAGCCCAGACTTTAAAGGAGCCGCACGCTCGGGTGCCTCCCTCTTGTGATGCCGAAGATAGCCTAGAAATTAGGCGAGCGGCTGTCACGGGGACGTAAAGAGGCGGGGGCTTCCTACGGAAAAGAGGAAACTCGGCTGGTGGTGTGAGTGTGGATGTGATCCGCTACACCCCTTTCCAGTTGGGGATGCACACTTGCCGGTACGATCCCCGAAACTGAGGAAGAAGTAAGAGAGACCCGAGCACATACCAAGCCTGTATGGTCTAACGGTTAACATACCAAGCTAGAAAGTGGGAGATTATGAGTTCAGGTTCCGCCTTACTCATGAAAGCCAGCTGGATGGTTTTGAGCTAGTCTCTCAACCCAACTCACCTTACGGGATTGTTGTTGTGGGAAAAGAGGAGGAGGAGGAGGAGGAAGAAGAAAGTGTATTGAATAAATTCACTTCATTGAGTTATTTATGAAATAATAAAAGTGGGATATAAATGAATTAAATAAATTAATTAATACGTGCATCTCCCTATGCTCTCCTTCCCAGTAAGACTTCTTTGGATTCCAGTGTATGTTTGTTCCTAAAAGAAATTATCATAAAGGCGGTTTAATGTAACACCATGGCTACATTAATACTTCTCACAGTGTGTGTGTTTGTGTATGTGTGTGTGTGTGTGTACAAGCTGACTCCTAAGTAGAGATAGAGGTAATTCAGCAGTAACTTGCAGTCTTGTTAACTTTCCTCTGCCTTAGAGTAGCAGAGACCTCAGATCAGAGATCTGGCTGATCCTTGGGCAGAAGACCAGGATGAAGGGAGGCTTTCATAGTTGTTTGGACTACTTGCTCCACTCCTGCCATGTGAGAGGAGCACAGAAAAAGAAGGAGCTGTCAGTTCATCCTTTTGTTGAGAAGTTGGTGGATGTGCTGGACCATTGACTTTATTATAAACTTGCAGCCAGAAGATACGATATGCTTTAAATGTCTATCAAATACACATGCTCATTCCTAAAACTTATAGATGTAATAAAAAGTAAGGATAACATACAATAAAATGGTATAAAAATAAGAGAGAATAGGAGCAATCATAGAATTAATATGCTTCTTCAATGCCAAGTCAATCAATTAGCATAAATTGAGGCACAGAATTTGGGAAGATACATAGGAATCCAAATTGTATTCTCTGCCTGGTGTTTCTTCAGAGTGGAATAGATTAATGTAATCTGACATTCCCTGACTAGAGAGCAACAGGACCATATGGCTTAGAGACTCCACAGAACATCCATACATAGTATACACACTGATGAAGAGAAATTTTTTAAACAATGTCCTAATAGAACTACAGAAAATAATACATCCAGCCTGACAATGAAAATTTAAAATTGTAATGGAAGAAAGATAAAGTGGTGGTACCAGCCCATTTGAAATAAAATATAGGCCGTGGATTAGATATTAGGCTTAGATTAATTTGAAAATTTGCATCACTTCCCAAGGGCATTTGCAGAGGTGCAGAAAATAAATGGTAATTGCTTTTTTAAAAAGCAGCCTCCTTTTGCTGGGCTAGGGCTAAGGCAGTTCTTGGTGCATCAGTCAGAATTAGGATCCACAAACAAAACAGGTGTTTTAGAAGGAAAGAACAACTCTTAACTATACTTTCCTAGAGGAAGGAGGAATGAAGGAAATACTAGCAGTCAGTTTTCAAGCCCAGCACCTAAGAGGTAAAAAGCTTAAAGGAGTAACTGGTCACCTGCTTAATCTTTCCACTGTGCAGAGAAGGAAGAGACCCATCCTTTTTCTATGATAATCTACCTGAAGTTGCAGATTTGATACTGACTGGCACATTTGTTAGTTTAATACAGTGGTTCTCAACCTTTTTAATGCAGCGACCCCCAACCGGTCGTAAGTTGAGGACTACCCAACCGGTCGTAAGTCGAGGACTACCCAACCGGTTGTAAGTCGAGGACTACCCAACCGGTTGTAAGTCGAGGAGTTTCCCTGCCCAGGAGTGCTGCGCATGCGTGGTGCCATCCCCTGCGCCGGCCAAGGCGTAGCTGGCAAGCGGCAGAGATGGCGCAGGCCGACCACTGGCTGGGCCACCAGCTGGGCACCCGCTGGGCCCCACGCTTGCCAGCAACCCTCCCTGCGTCTGTCGGCCTCCCACCTCCCACCCCTGGCCCTCTTTTACTTACATTTTTAGTAGTTGCTCAGCAGGGAGGGGTGGAAACTTCCAGACAGCTCACCTTTGCTGCAGACAACTTGCAGCACTGTTTGCAGAATGGGACTTTTGGCGGGCTCAGCAGGGCAGAGACAGCCTGGACAATTCCTACTGGCTTTTGAAAGCCAATAGAATTAGACTCTATTCAAGAGAGTCTATTCTATTGGCTTTCAAAAGCCAATAGAATAAAAGGGAGTAGCACAGCAAAGGAAAAGGGGAAAAAAATGGCAGACTGCGTTATTTGGCGACCCCCGTGAAATGGTCGTTCAACCCCAAATGGGGTCCCGGCCCACAGGTTGAGAACCGCTGGTTTAATAGCTATATATTACAAAAAAAACAACCACTTAGTTTCAGAACTCTCTCATGAAATAAACAAACCCTGACCCCATCAGATTTACTGTGAAACTTGCTATCAGTTGGGAGACCTGGGACTATTAAAGAATTATTTCCAAAGGAAATTGCAGTAGCCTTTTGTAACAAAAATGACTTCTGGCACATAAAATAATAAGACATCTGTTTAATTTATTTGACTTTATGCCACCCACCTACCAATATTCTGGATGGCTCACAATACTAGAAGCATCATCAAAACATCCCACCTGCAAAAATCATAAAACATTATCCAAATAATGTTCTGAAAGCAGACTAATCACATATAAGCGTTTTGTAAACTAGTATCATACTTCACATGCAAGAATACATTTATTGTGTTAAGCTCCCCAAAATTCCTTGCTTGTTTCCTTCAGAATAAGGACTTCCTTACTCAGGGGCTGAATAAACTGATATACACCTCTTCTAATCAATTTGGTTCATATAAATTCATGTATACTGTATATTCGCTAGCACAGTTGCAAGAAAAGCAAAACTGTTCTAGTGCAAGCCATTTTAAAATACATTGAAACAACAGTATCTGAGCTAAATTAAGCACCACAGTATACCATTTATAAATTATTAATAAATGTGATGATGTGAAGAGGCAATTGTGTTGGGGCTGAAAGAAATAATAATAATAATAGTTGGAAGGGACCTTGGAGGTCTTCTAGTCCAACCCCCTGCTCAGACAGGAAACCCTATACCACTGCAGACAAATGGCTATCTAGTCTCTCAAACTTCCAGTGTTGGAGCATTCACAGCTTCTGGAGACAGGTTGTTCAACTGATTAATTGTTCTGTCAGGAAAACAAAAACAAAAAACCTTATTATTTCAAAATAAAGGATTTCCCAAAAGATTAATCTCTGATTGCCCTGCAAACAGAGGTATTTCCCAGCTGTGCTATTGAAAGCTAATGTGCTAGTTCTATGTGGTGTGTATATGTGAAGGGAGAATATAGAAAAGGAATCAGTGGAATAAAATACAGGAGCTGGAGAGTAAATTAGGGTTTATTATATGTGTACATAAATAAACATGTATTGTAAATGTGGTTCCTTTGAGATTTCGGAAGGACCTTTAGCAAGCAAAGCTTAGGTATTAAAATGTATTTCTATGAATACATTGACAAACTATGCATATGGCACTCACTAGTTGGTGGCTTTAAAAGCACATGTAGAAATAGATCAAGTTACATTCCAGAAAATCAAACGTTGTAAGTGCAATCTTATATATCTAAATCCACTGAATCAATAGGGATTATTGTTGTTGTTGTTGTTGTTTTTCAGTATTCCTTCTTTAGCTACATTTCATTCTTTTCCTAATGTTAACTGCTAGTATTGAGCTAGTAAAATATTCTAGTTTGACTGTCTTCAATGTTATATAATGCTTCATAACTGTTATTTGTCAGTCTTCTCAGCGTGCAACATTTATACCTGAAACAACATTTTTAGAGTAGCTCCTTAGATAAGAATTACTGAAAGTATCACAAAAGCTATGTACATGGAAACACTAGCCAATTGCATTTTACTTTAATGTATATTATGGAATTCTAGCCTTTGTGGTTAGTTTATGGATCATTATGTTATGCCAATTGAGAGCAATTACTTTGGGTTAATTATAGCTAAATTAACTATGGTAAGCATTGTCTGTGATTATAATCAATATCTGTAAAAGGTCAGCAAATAGGACCAGGATGGTATAGATTTCAGGATAAATCAATTAAAAATGCAAAACAGAGGAATAAAAATCCATAGACAGCACAAATCCATCACATAGATTAAACAATGTGGGTAAACCAAAAAGATCTAGTACTAGAAAATCATCAAAATAAGCACAGACAAGTTATTTTGAGGAAGGTATTTTAAGTCAAAGAAGTCCATAGATTGTTCTGAAAATAGCTTTAGATAGTAGTTCTCAACCTTCCTAATGCCGCGACCCTTTATTACAGTTCCTCATGTAATTATAAACCATAAACCATAAATTTATTTTCGTTGCTATTTCATAACTGTAATTTTGCTACTGTTATGAATCGTAATATAAATATCAGTTATGCAGGATGTATTTTCATTGTTACAAATTGAACATAATTAAAACATAGTAATTAATCACAAAAATAATATGTAATTATATATTGTGAACTATTTATTTCTAATTACAAATAAATAAGTCGAGGATTACCTGTATTTCCCTGTGGGCGAGGGCAGGAGGAGGGGCAGGGTTTGCTCGCTCTCATTCTCTCCCTCTCTCACTTTTTCTCTCTCTGGTGTGCACGTTCCGCCTCCTCTCCTGTGGCTGGAGCGTGTGCCGGGCAGGCTGAGGCTCCATGTGGGCCGTTGCCCAGCAACTGCCTTGGCCGGAAGCACCACACGTGTGTGGCACCGCCCCCTGCGCCAACTGAGGCAGAGCTGGCA